CCCTAAACCCCGTAGAACCCTCAAAGGGACCTCCGAGCAGGAGCTCCGACCCCAAACCCCTTCGGCCCGAGGCGCTTCATTCCAGACGGTGCCCGTGAGACCCAACGTGCCGAAGCACAGGGAGCCTCGTTTCTCGGCTCTGGGGCTTAGGGTTTAGCGTCTTGGCGTTTAGGATCTTAGACCCGACAAATATGGGTGCTTTTGCTATTACTATCGTCTACCTACGTACTTCTCGATATTTCTACCTGTCTATCTACTTACCTACCGGTCTGCGAAAACGATAACTGTACTTGTTTAGGTGTGAGCTACATTCGTTCGCGTCCAAACACCTGGCTTGCTGCCAAGCAGCCATACACGACTGCTGGGAAATAGAGAACAAATGGCAGCCATCCTCACGTCGATGGAGCTTCGGTGGCACTGAGGCAATAGCTGTGAATTTCAACGATCGACTTTTGCCTTCAGGACCGGGTCACCCCACATACTGCATTCCGGGGGCTTCTTGAGTTCGATGCAGAAGGGGAGTTCGGAATCGAAACAAGCTCCGGGCTTAGCCTTGCGGCCCAATGGGGCCTAAGGAAGAAACAGACGAGTGGCTCAAAAGCAAGAGAGGTCGAGTGAGCACCATGCTCGTCTTCGCATCCCGCGGTGGAACCTGCACACTTCCAGGTTATGCTCCTACGTAGGGCCGCCTCCTTCCAGTCCGGTGGCTACTCTAGACTCCACAATCGACCCCTAAAACCTAAAGCCGTTTTTAAGGTTGTAGGCTTTAGGGTTGTGTTTTTCAGGGTTTAGGGTTTAGGTTTTAGGCTTTACGGTTTTGCTTTTGAGGTTTAGGGTTTAGGGCCAAGTTGCATCGGAGTTTCTAGGACTCCAGGAATTCGAAGGACCACGGAACATGAGGAGCTCTGACGAAGTGCTAAGACCGGCCATTCCGCCCCGGAGAGGTCTGCAGGATTTCGGGCTTCGGATTCAAGGATTTAACCCTAAACCCTAAACCCTAAACCCCTAATCCCTAAACCCTAAACCCTAAGATTTAGGTTTTGGGGATTTCGGGTTCTGGGGCTGTCTTTAGTTTAGGTCCTGTTATTTTGTGGGTCAGGGACTGAGAGGGTTGAGGTTTAACGCAATTAAGTCAAAACGGGGTGCAGGGAAGACGTCGTTGAGTAGACTCTTGAGCTAGGTTAACCCTAAAATTTAAGGAATTATATCGGTCCCTAAACCCTAAACCCTAAACCCCTAAACCCTAAACCCCCAAACCCCCAAACCCCTAAACCCCTAAACCCCTAAAACCCCTAAACCACTCCGACCCCGATGCTAACAGAGGAGCCTTCATGATGTAGTCCTCCGCCTCCTCGAAAGCGTAGGACACTGTGCAGAGCACGTGTGTCACCTGAGAAGCAAAAAGGGTTTAGGGTTTAGGGTTTAGGGTTTAGGGTTTAGGGTTTAGGGTTTAGGGTTTAGGGTTTAGGGTTTAGGGATAACAATACTTATACAAATCATAGCTGTATTAACCACTTAACAGTAATACTACCAGTATAGCCTGCAACACTCTGGGAAGATCGACAACAATCCTGCGTTGCAACATCGTACAATCCTGTATAGAACCCTTGATCATGCCTATACAACCCGATACTCGTCCCACAAAGCTTGGACCCGAAACTAAGGGCAACAGTGAGTTCCCTAAGCTTAAACCCTAAGCCCTATACCATTGGCCGCCCGCGCCAGGCGGCGGCCCATACCACTAAACGCCACCGCTCCGAGATCTGCCTTCAGATCGAATCTGCCTATTTAACTTGACTTGGCCCTGCTAGCCATGGGGCAGAATAAGTAAAATTGGGTCCCCCTTATCTCCCAGATCGCGACTCTGGCGGGGACGCAGTGCAACACTCTCGGGCGGGCAGTCACTGCACACATCTTACAAAGCTGGCAGGTTGCAAAAAAAAAGGTTCCGATGAGGACGCATCACAAAAAAAAAACTTGTGACCACTCGGTCGAGCTTTGTGGGGCCGCACGACAACTCCATGGGTGGGGCGCGCTTTGGCACTGTGACACACCCTGAACCCTTCCTGGACCCTGAACCCTAAACCCTAAGCCGTGGCCAAGCCGCCGCCAGGTTCAGCAGCTGCAGCGTGGGCTTCAGTGGTACGACGACGCCCAGGGCGATGGAGATCATTAAGCTGACCATCCTAGGCTCGCCACCATCGAATTTTGGGTTTAGGGCTTGTAAGGTTTAGGGAATGCAAGGCAGGCCCTAAAGTTCAAAACCTATATCCTGAAAGGCTAACCCTACACCCCGAACCCCGAAGCACATGCCTAATACAGGATCCTTAAAATTAGAATAGGGTTTTGGGTATATTAGGCTATAACTATAATCAGGAGCCCCCAAAATACTATTTTAATTATTGAAGGCCCTATACAAAACCCGTATGGTAACCCTTTAAAAGAACCCTTTTAAAGATTTATTAAGGCCCCTACACTAAGGTTCAAGATCCCCGTGTGAAGCTTCTGAACCCTAAACCCTAAACCCTAAACCGTACATTAGGCTTCAAGATGCCTGTGTGAAGCTTCTTCGGACAGGAAGCTTTCGACTGCTAGGATGGCCCGGCTTGATTGGGGCGGGGAAGGTAGGGGCCTTACTAGTTAGAATAGGGTTTTGGGGGTTCCTTTAAAGGGTTCGATAAGGGTTACTATAAGGGTTTAGGGTTTAGGGGCCATTAGAATCGGGTTTTGGGGTTCCTTTGAAGGGTTCTATAAGCGTTACTATAAGGGTTTAGGGTTTAGAGGCCTTACTAATTAGAACAGGGTTTTGGGGTATACTATACTATAATGATAATAAGGAACCCCCAAAGTAGTATTGGTAATTACTTAGCCCCTATACTGCTCTCTAAGGGTTGGAGGATTTGGGGTTTGTTGTTCAGGAGTTGGTGTTTCGGGTTTCGGGTTCAGGATTTAGGGCTCGGGGTTTTAGGTTCAGGACTCAGGGTGCGTGTTGATGTGTAACAGACTCAGGGTCGCAGCGTTCAGGGCTTACTCCAGAATTCGGGATTTAGGGCTTGGGCCCAGAATAATGGCCGATATTATCGAGGATCGGATATAATGCAGACCCTGCAGTGATCTGAACAAAAACAAGTGAGGAGTTGTTGGAGTTCCTTTCGTCTTTCGATGGGGTATAGGGTACTTACTTGTGCAAGTTAAACAGTTAAGCTTCCGTTCACGAATCATGTGTTGAAGCGTTTGATGTTTCCGCTGCCTAGTCGCAAAATCTTCTGTTGGTGTGTTGGCGTGTTGAGGTTGGCTGCTTAGCTTTCGCTTGCCGTCTTTGTCCCACAAAGGCTGTTTAAAAGCAAGCGCTTCGCTCGAGGGTTGCGCCAGAGGTCTTGCTACTTAATGCATGCCACTACATGACATCCAAGACCTCTGGCGCCACTCCCCAACCCCTCGAGCCCAGCGCTGGCTTGTAAGCAACCCCGGTGTTCCTAAACAGCCCCGCAGTCGACCTTGCTCTAAGGTTTGGGACCATAACCCCGATGCTGAAATCGCCATGATCTCAGAACCTACGGCACAAAGACCCTGCCCCAAAACCCTTCAAAACCCCCTGGAAAGCCCAAAACCCTTAGCCCGGAAGCACCAAATCCCTGAACCCTCTAAGCCTCAAGGGATGTTAAATCCTCACCCCCAAAGAGCCCTAAAACCGATAAAACCCCTAAACCCCCTACAACCCCCAAAAACCCCTAAACCCCTAAACCCGGACAACCCCCCTAAACCCCAAACCCCAAACCCTGAACCCTAAACCCCAAAACTGAAGCCTCTAAAACAATCCCTATAAAACCCCTAAACCCCTAAAAATCCCTAAAACCCCTAAACCCCTAATTCCTGAATCCTTGCGCGCACCCAAGGCACTCCCCAAACTTCAGGCTGAGATTGGCGGTGACGTACTTCTGCACGTTGAGGAAGATTCGGCGGCCTCGCCGTGGCTTTCCGGTTTAGGGTTTAGGGTTTAGGGGTTGAGGGGTTGAGGGGTTTAGGGTTTAGGGTTTCGGGTTTAGGGTTCAGGGCTTAGGGTTTACGGTATAGGGGTCTTAGGTTCGGAGGCCGCTACATTCCCAGACACTATAAAGACTCACTGTGTCAGGTTATGGGGTCTAGTTCTGGCACTGCCACATGGTGTTATGAGCTGCCTGCGGAACTACCTTCAGTAGACCGTTTTAGATTTTAGACCCTCCACCCCAAACTAAACCCTCCCTAAACCCTAAACCCTAAACCCTAAACCCTGACCGCTTAAACCCTAAACCCTTAACCCTTAAACAGGGCTTTGGGTTTAGCCGCTTAGCCCTAAACCCTAAACCCTAAACCGGTTTCGGGCCTTCTTCAATGGCCAGAACGATGGTGGAGAAGTTATCGTCCATGAGCACGAGATCACCTGAGCGTCAGAACATACGGAAGTAGGGTTTAGGGTTTAGGGTTTAGGGTTTAGAACACCTGTCCACGAAATCGCTATAAAGTGGGTGTCTTTGGCTGGGCCCGCTTTAAAAAAGTTTAGGAAAAAGGACCCTCTCAATGTGAGATATTCGGAAACCCGAGCCATAAAAAGCAAACCCTAAACCCTACAATCTAAACCCTAAACCCTAAACCCTAAACCCTTACTCTGTGAGATTGACCCATCCTGTGCCTGTCCTAGTCAGTTCCGCCTCTGAGGGTATGGTGCCTTCCTTCGACGTGAATTCCCCGTGACACAACGAAGCAGGATCCGGGCACCGTTTAGGGTTTAGGGTTTAGGGCTTTGGGTTTAGGGTTTAGGGTATTGTGTAGGGTTAGGGTTTAGGGTTTAGGGTTTACGGTTTAGGGTTTAGGGGTTTAGGGTTTAGGGGTTTAGGGTATTGTTTAGGGTTTAGGGTATTGTTTAGGGTAGGGTTTTCAATCGAATGTTCGGGACATACCCTCAATCCTAAACCCTGAACATACGGGGGCTTCTGAAACTAGGGATACCGTTCATCAACAACAAAGATCCTACCATGGGTTTCGGGGTTAAGGTCCTCTCCCTGTTTTCTGCGACTCTCATCTAAGTTCTTCTAGCGAGTTCCAGTCAGCGTCGACGGTCTTGGGCCTGAAAAACTGTACCAAAACATACGCCCAAAAGCTTGCTCTTCGTTATAAGGCACCTAGCCCTCTTTATCGCTCATGGCAGTCATTCCGACGGTCCCTAGAAGGTCTCGGTACCAAGTGCCCCAAACCCACATACTGGAGACTCTCTCTTGAAGGAACGCTGAAAGCCTTTATAGTAGAAGCCCAAAAGTTGGAAACCCAATAGCCTGAACCCTCAAGAGTCATGTATAGGGAATCCCAGCACTACTTGTCCTTAATCCGGTTGCCAACCTTTTGGGGTTTACTGCAACTTGAAGTTCTTCTTCCCCCCCCCCCCCGTTACCGTCCACACCTCGGACCTCGCATCTCGGGCTTGCAAGTATTCGTTTCGGACCACTGAAACGCAAACTGCGAAACCTGGCAAAGCCCTCCGAAGGCACCGTAATGTAGGGGCCTTAAATAAGTAGAATAGGGTTTTGGGGTACTATACTATAAGGATAATAAGGAACCCCCAAAATAGTGTTGGTAATCATTTAGGCGCCTAAAGTAACTCCCGAACCCTCTACAGCTGCCCAAGCACTGGCGTTTTGGGTGACAGCCGTCCCGGTGATGCCTCGAGAGCAAAATACTTCAGTGTCGGAGGGCACCGGCTGCAAGTGATGACTACAGATTAAATGTATATATATATATATGTATATATATATATATATATATATATATATAGGGTTTAGGGTTTAGGGTTTAGGGTTTAAGTGATGACTACAGATTAAATGTATACATATGGGGAGCTGTTCGGTGATGCCAGTCCTACAACCATAACAAAGAACGCCAAGAATCATCACGATATACTTGAGCGGTGATTCTGAGGGGATACCCATTTACATAAATGTTAAAAGGAGCCAGAAGGATGATTCGCACAGAGCATGTGAGACAAAGCCCTAAGGCAAGTTTGTTAAAAAAAAAAAAACCTACAACTTTGGCTAGCAAATACTCTGCCTATTCGTATACCAGCCAGTCTTGCAGTTTGCAGCTTTTCAACCATGGCAAGTGGCCCATGGCTACACCCACATCGGCATTCCTCAAGGCCGGTGCCTCGGTGACAAGAGACTCCTCTTCCTGCTGCTGCTACAATTGCGACTAAGATTACGAGATTACGACTACGACGACGACTACGACGACGACTACGACGAGGACTACGACGACGACTACTACGACGAGATGGACGACATCTTGCACCAAGTGCATATGCTTCAGGCGCCCTGGTGAATAGAACCCCGCATCCCCTTATCATTCGCAGACACAGTTGGTCAAGAAGTGCAAGCCCTTGGGGCATAGAAGCCTATCCGGTCGACAAGCTTTATCAGCCAATGTTACAAGGGGAGTGGGGAAGTGCTCGGTGCCGGTCCTTCCGGCCCTGCTTGTGCATGAGATTCACAGAATACACCGAGCAAAGGCTTGTTTCGCAGGGGTATGCTTGCTGATTGAGCAACAGGCTGAAGCACAGACAAATGCTAGACGAATCTCGACCACGGCACATCGTTGACACCGTCCCCTGTCATCGCCACAATATGGCCATCGGACATCAAGGATGCGACTGGCAGGGACATGTGTGTTGATTTTCCGAACACCACATCCAAACAACAACGTCAGCATCATGATCATTACGCTACAACCGTTTACATTGGCTTACATTCTACATTGTCATGTCATACTGTACTAGATGATTTATGCTATCTTATATGATACGGTTTTGTAGTAGCTGTAATAGCTGCAGTAGTTGTAGCTATTACGATTGGCGTGTTCGGATGGTTTTGGGTGCTCGGTGTCAGGGCCTAGGGTCTAGGAATCAGGGTTTAGGCTTAAGGGCCTAGGGTCTAGAGTTTATAATTAGTCTGCCGGCTGCAGCAGGCTTGCCTGTACATAGCCCTTTCTCGATTCCAAAGTCTCAAAAACCATGCTCTTGGGCTCGATATAAAGGGGCTCCGAGTTCCCCAAGCAAGCCATGAAACGCCAGACCATTCAACCCCTTCCCCTTCGAAAGTCCGCAACAACGCGACACCTGCAACCCAGATCCCCTAAACCCTAAACCCTAAACCCTAAACCTCCGCCTATCGCCACTTTGTCCGATGGGCAGGCCCTGGCGAAGCCTCGGTTGGGCTGGGGGTTCTAGGGCGTCGCGTTTCAGACTGAAGCTTAAGGGCGGCGACTTCGGGTTTAGGGTTTAGGGTTCAGGGCATAGGTTTTTTTATGGTTTAGGGTCTAGGGTTTGGGGTTTAGGGTTTAGGGCTTTGGGTTTAGGCTTTAGGGCTTAGGGTGAAGGGGTTTAGGGCTTCGGGTTTAGGGTGAAGGGGTTCTTGTTTTCGGATGCAGCAGCAGTGAAGAGTCTGGTCGACACACCGCTACATTCCGACTTGCAAA